CGATGTGGCCTTCTTTGATTCGACAGAGAGTAGCTCTGAATAAAGTGGTGAAGAAACTAGAAAGGATGTACTTCGAGAAATACGGTTATGAATTTCCCCTCACAGGTGGGTGATGTGCTAGATTGGTAGATAGCCCCAGAAATTTATGATATGGTCTTAAAAAAGAATATGGCGAAAAGAGACATTTTTCTACTAAACCTTACTTTGCTATGATCAAAGCAATAGTTCTAAAGAAGTTTATACCATGACGGACAAGAAATAAAAAATCACAAATTAAGAATTCCAGTAATGATAATCTATTTATAACGAGGCGTATCGTAATGATTTTGCTGACTAGATTCAGAAGAGGCAAATTTAATATTTGGTTCCTCGCTTTGTTTTAGAGGGGAAAAAGATAGATCACTTGGTGCAAGAAAATGAGGGAGGACGAAAATTGGCCAATCAGATAGTTCGGCAAGTATTCCGACCGCATGGAAACAAGGAGGAAAAACTTGCGTCTGGCCACAGAGTGAGTGTTTTTGAGGCACACATTCACATGTTAATTAAACAGGAAGTTTCCCTACCTTATACTATGGATCCTGCTCCATCAGGATACACCTTTTTAGTCATTTTAATTTGCATTTTAACCTTTTCCCTCGAACAAAAATTTAAATGTACGATTGAGAAAATCTTTCAAGAAACGTTGTGCTGTAGTTTCCATGTTCCCTTGAAAAAAAAACCGAACTTGTTTTGTAGTGACATAGAAAAGCCAATCTCAAATGCTGCTCCAGGAAGTACAAAAAAGTCAACAAAACTCGCTCTCAATACGCGATACGAAAATTAATGGGAGGGTTATAGCTTGAATAAAACCCCTTCTAGCTTGCTGGTATGTCGGCTGACAATGTCCCTGGTTGAGAGATTGTCTTTAAGTTTTCAAATTTCTCCTTGAAGCTTTGGTTCTTGGCCAAATATTCATTCTTGGACAATGTCTCAGCCGCGGACATTTTCAGGTGACATACCAGCCGCCTGAAAGAGTCCCTCGTGTTACTGAAGTTTTGTTTGATTGTCATTTAAAGGCGTGGTATGATTCGCCGGGAATTGCTGTCGATGGCTGTCTCCTAACTTACGTGGGACCAGATGTCTGCGGCATATGCAAAAGTGGAAATCGTAAGAACATTCACAGTGCCAAGTTCAAGTCTCCCTTTACACCAGAGACACCAAGATTTGAGGTGTGCTTTTGATTTATAGAGAATTATTTGCGAACAACAAATTTAATTCATACACTTCCTGCTTCATGATAGACTCTCTGAAGATGCAACATAATTACACCGCCTTTTTACCCTCCTCCCTTAAATAACCTCCCTCTTGTAGACGCTGGTATTCTTTTCTATTTTGTAGCACCACAGATACTTATTTTTTTTAAGAATGAACTTAACGGTGCCTCCATGATAGAAAGACTAGACCGGTTCCTGAAAAACATCTTTATGTTCCTCCTGCGGTATCCTATTTTCACCTTTGCTTTGATGGTAACGTGTCAACATGGATCTCGTTTGGGCACTTAACCCTGTAACACCTAAGAGTGACTATGATGTAATTTCTCCACACATTATTATCCTTGAGTCGAACATTCAGGTCACATGGATAAAGTAAATGATCACCAACCGAAAAAGCTCTTCATTCAGTAAATGGTTTGAACCCGGGGTTAACATGTAATAGTGTAGTAACGACAATAATAATATAAATATAAACGATTAATCCAAAAGGGAATTTCGGCTTAACGAAGGCACCATGCACCTCAACGAAGTGGAGCAAAGAGATTAATTTAACCTTTCATACCCTAACATCATTTTGAATATTCTCCATGCTGTTCTCTATACAATTGTGCTGATAAGAAAGAATTATTTAAACAATGAAGAGCTTGTAATAGCGTAGTTTTATCGTCCGGGTGAGTGTAGTCCTGAGAAGGACTGTTGTCGGTAGTGGTGACTGACGTTTCGACAACCTGAGCGGAAGTCATCATCAGAGTCAAGTGAAAGGTTGTTGTCAGTCGAATGTACTTAGTCCGGTTTGTGTACACTGATCGGTCAGTTTTGCCGTGATGTTATTGGCTGTAAGACTCAAGTGGTGTAGGTCAGTCGTGATTGGTCGGTTTGGATCCGTTAGTGAAATATATTAAAGTTCACACGGCAACCAGGTGGACAATCAGACATAGTTTGATGCTACACTGGTTTGCAGATTTAATGAATGTAACCGAAGAAGTTACAATTCATAGGGTCTAACATCATTTTGAATATTTGAATAGGGTCTATGAATTGTAACTTCTTCGGTTACATTTATTAAATCTGCAAACCAGTGTAGCATCAAACTATGTCCGTTAGTGAAGTTAGGTCGTTCTGTTCGGTTCGTTTGTAATGTTAATGTCGTGGATGAGTCGTTTGTATGGTGCCGGTAGTGGTTGACACCTGTTAAGGGGAGTCTGTTCCAAGTTAGTAAACCAGCTTTCTAAGGTCAGTTGTTGAAAGTAGTTGGTGCTGTAGGTTAGGCATTGCGCAGAGTCCCAGTCAATAGTGTGGTTCGTAAGTCGGTTATGTTCAGCAAGACTGACCAATCAGTGTACACAAACCGGACTAAGTACATTCGACTGACAACAACCTTTCACTTGACTCTGATGATGACTTCCGCTCAGGTTGTCGAAACGTCAGTCACCACTACCGACAACAGTCCTTCTCAGGACTACACTCACCCGGACGATAAAACTACGCTATTACAAGCTCTTCATTGTTTAAATAATTCTTTCTTATCAGCACAATTGTATAGAGAACAGCATGGAGAATATTCAAAATGATGTCAGGGTATGAAAGGTTAAATTAATCTCTTTGCTCCACTTCGTTGAGGTGCATGGTGCCTTCGTTAAGCCGAAATTCCCTTTTGGATTAATCGTTTATATTTATATTATTATTGTCGTTATTATTATTATTTAGATTAGTGTGTTGCTTTGTAATCATCATCATTATTGCAGTTGTTATTATAGCTGCTTTTGTTGTTTATATGATCATTATTTTGGATGTTGATTGTTTATATTATGGCTAACATCGTCTTTATCATCGTCATTATTTTGCTTTGGTCTTAGAAACTAGTATTCCCTCGGTCTCATGAGCAAAAAAACTCCTTTGCATATTTAAACAAAAACTAAAAGCATAGGACTTATGGCAACCGTAACAACAAAGTCTAAGAAAGAAAAGGCCGTCATTGTTTTGCAGGTACTTATTCAGGAGACTGGGGAAAGGCGTATTGTGGCACTGGGTGCTGTGCACGAGTCGTACGACTGTCACAAAATGCCTGGCTGGTATCGTGGAACAGTCGGTTACCACATAGACGATGGTAAAATATTTGAAACTGGCTTCCATGAGCTGGGAAGAGAAGTCGAAGGTATGGGTTACTTTGACGATAGGTGTACGATATCTGCCACAAGGATCTGTTGGCGCTTGGAAACATAATCAAAGTCTTACCGTCCTTCTGAGGGCGACCTTGCGACAGTAGGTTTCTGTTTTCCAAAAGAAAAAGATTCAGAAATTTTCGTTTGTGAACGTTATAGGGATCACTTTAAAATCGTTATAGACTCCTCGAGATGATTATTCTGACGTGCATGAGATAAATGGGAAATGTATTGTAGCTGTGTGATCAAGATAGAATGTTGAACGTAGTTACTGTAAAATCCATGTGCCTAGAGTGTGAAACTGAAAAAACCCTGAATCCTTCGATTGTGGAGGGTTCCAACCCTCGCCTTTTGCTTGCCGATCAAATGGTCTACAGAGAACTCATTTAAGGCCAAAGAAAAACGAGATTCATATCAACAAATGCTTGACGTTGCTAGGATCATTTATATCGTCAACACTCCTTGTATAAATACAGTGAGGGAGATTAAACTTTGTCTTCGAATGAACGAAGAGGTAGGTCATTGATCAAGACCGAACAACAAAGAAAAAAGTCCAATTTCACATCCTGGTGTTACATGGTTGGTTGCCTCATGTTTAGCTTATTTTGTTATCTTTTTTCTATTTACTTAATTTTTTCTGTTGATAACTTAGGAGCCATGGCTTACCGCGGTGATCTCATTGCTTGTGAAGTTGATTTTAGTGGAGTCCCCGAGGGAAAAGTCCCTGTGTTGTTCTCCTTGAACGGTAGAAAAGTAGCGCGTTCTTCAGTGGAGTATACCGAGGGAAATAGTTTATTTCCCTTCGTTTCATTGGGATTTGAAGGCATTACAGTGCTCACCAAGGTATGTTCGAAAGAGGGAGCGGGGAGGGTAATGGGCTAGAAATTGAATCTATAAATGGTTTGGTTTCATCAGTAATCTGCCAACATATCATACCTCGGCACCCTCCTCCAGCTACAATTAATCGAGGGGTTGTTCCTGTGACCAAATTGAAAGCATGTGGAGAGGGAGCTCTCTCTACGGCAGCTGTCAGGCTCTAGAATCAAAGGAAGAACTTTGTCGTACCCAGTGTTAAAAAGACCACAAAACATTTTGCTCAAGTCTGTGTAATTTTAATATTTGCGAACATTTACAACTTTCTACCAAAATTCAGTGCCCTGATTACTCTTAATTAAGGTACGAACAAGGAAATAGCGTGTCGATCTAATTTTTAAAATTCTATATCAGGCATATCTGTATTCCATAATTGTGGACATTAGAGTTTATACCTCACACCTGTGATCATGGCTGCCCTAAATTTTCGTGCTTTTCTTCTTCAAAGTTGAGACGTTTGATTTCCACATGTTTTAGATGTGCCATCGTGACAGAGACCGTTTTAGTAGAGTAACAAACGAAGACATTCGGGAGGAAATTGGAGATCTGCGGCGTGATTTTCAGAATCAACTTACCGAGCAAATGAGGATGTTGTCAGAAATGAGAAATTTAGTACTGCGTTTGAAGGATGTAAAGGATAAAGATAAACAAGAAGAAGATACTAAGATACTGGCGTGTGACTTAAGTTAAATCCACAGGTGATAATGTCTTACGCGCGGTTTGATGGATCGGATCAATGAATGGATGAAAATAAAGAAGATTTTCATTACCTTAGTAGTCGTTCAAGAACATTCATTTAGTTTAAACGCAATGTAAATCGTATGCAATCACTCTTTTTGATAAGTGAAAAGATGGAAACTGTATTTCTATAGCTGTAATATTTCTTGTTGAATTAAAATTGTAGTCTGCCTACTTAAAAAGATTGTAGGAGTTATGAAAACCATGCATTGCCATCTATAAGTTACATTTGCTTAATCATATAGCTCTTGGTCAATAACCATAGTCTCCCCTTCAACTGTTATATATGTTCCTGCAAATTATTTGGGAGAATGTAGAGTTAAATCAAGGTATCACTTTGCTTGTGAGTTAATCTGTTATCTGTTTGCTGAGGAACAAATAAATATTATAGAAAGAAAAGTATTTCTGCTAATCTTTTCACACTGCACTGTTTTCATTCGTTAAGTGTCATCATTTTAGGATGACACAGAACGCATTCAGATCAGTTTGCAGAAATTACAAATATTCTACTCACCAACCAAATATTCTTAGGTTTGTTTCGGAATTTTTTAATATTTGTGCGCATTTAATCAATGCGTTAATGTAAATACTGTTGATAGGCGATAGATTAGTCGTTCAATCAAACTACCTTGAAGCGTGCTCACTCGGGAAATATCCTATTAAGAGAAAGCCAAAGTGTTCGGTATTTGTCTCGAGCGTACGGAAAGGCTCACGACATAATTGGGGGCACTATAAAACACAGCCAATCAAATTACGGTCAAATGAATTCAATATATATCGATAATGTCAAAATGATTACTGCAAGGACTGATAAAGTACGAAAATTTCATGATTCCATGATTCGAGTGGTCAATACCAATGGTTTTCATACCAGTTTTCCTCAGGTGTAACAACGACAGGATCAGGAAGTTAGGAGACGTATATATCAACCGTCCTCACAGCCTCTTACGCATATGTTGTCTTCCCGTGCCTTTCTTAATATTCCACTAGTCTTGGAGGTGTCGAATATAGATAGCGGCAGAAAATTTTTTGCTTTAATATTTCTAGTACACGTGAGCGCGAGGCGGGTAGAAAGGGCGGGTCATAAGCGAGGTGGGAACGTTACATCTGTGCAACTAATTTGTATGTGATCCCGGTGAACAAAATGATTCCCAAGTTTGCACTACATTAGAGTCCGGACATAAATTTAAAGATATCCTATTGGAGGATAGCAAATGACACCTAAACATATTTCAACGCCAAATTTGGCCTCTCTATGGCTCGCTGGTCTGCTGCCGTTAATATTTCTTAACGAAACTTTTAACCTTTTACCATGAGATTTTTTTGAAATCGTGGTACCTTTGTTTTTTGTTTTATCTGATCTCGCTCTTTCCCATAGAACGCGTGGAAAATCGAAGGGGAAACACCTCAGTCCGCGCCAACATCTTTTTTTTTCTCATTGTTTTCTTTTTTCACTCCCGCAAAACGTAGGTACTTCTCGTAATCAGGAGCAAGAGATTTTTCATAATCTCTCGGTCAGGAGACAAGTTATTACTAACGCAGGTATTGTATCCTCACCCTCCCTCGCCCAGGTTGTTTGGTTCTTAAAAAGAATGGAGAGAAGACTGGGTTCAAGTCACCATCGTGACCACGTCGCGCATGCAAAGTATGGCTGCAGGAAGGAACAACTTTCTTTGGCATGAAAATTCGTGACAAAATGCCCCTTCTGCATTACTTGGCTTTTAAATCACCTTTATCAATATATGGCTCCTTCCGCTGAATATCATGGGAATGGTTACAGAGGCTTAAGAACACAAAAACGGCGAATGTTTATGTTCACGCACTCACCGCTGGCGGACACAGAAACATCTGAAAGTCGTCCAGGCATCAAGGTATTTCTTGAGGCTGTTCTGCTTTGCACGGTGTTTTCTATTTCATTTTAATTCTTAAGACGTTTCTCCTGTTCAATTTATTTTTATGCGTGGTAAGGAACTGTTTAATTCATTTTAAATTGTTTTAGTACCTGAACGCGGTAAATTTAAATATTTTCCTGAGAGCTCTGCACTCAAATGCAGTTAAATAGCTGCATCTGTTGTAGAGAGCGTAGATAGCTGTATGCTGTATCTTCGGTATACTATCCATTGTAGACAGTCTACAAGCTGGGGTGAATCTAGTGAAAGAATGTCAATAGATGTATCCATTTCATAGCAGATAGTTGTATGTAGGTAGTGTGGACTCCACTGATTTAACAATCGGTTTATGCTTAGTGAAGATTTATCAAGATATGGATGCAAACTGAAAGTTTGGAGAACAGGAGAGAAGCATAAGAGTTGCTTGAGGCAAACTTAAGAGCATCTCTAACCTTTGGAGTGCTCTCCAAACTTCCCAATTACATCCATATCTTGATATATGCACATAGCATGAACCAACAATGTTCTATAGCACAGATGAAACAGAGTGTGCATGAAAAAAGAGATTTATTACAATTGTGTTGGGTTTACTAGGGTGCATTGAAGTGGACCACTAAGTAACTGATGTTTGCACTTTTGTAAAAGAAAAAGAAAATTTACTTTCAAAAGATTCCAACGAAAATCGCATTCAATGGATAGCAAAAAAACCTTCCAATTTATCTGAAATAAACTCAGACACATAAATTTTATGGTCTATTGCCATTGATGTCTGAGTAATTGTTGGCAAATTTAAACTGCTTTGGTGCTGCTTTAGTCTCCTCCACAGCCTAACCAAAGATATTTTGCCATCTCCACTCTTTGAGTGGGTGAAAAGGTATTGAATGAAGAAAAAAAATATATTTCAAAAGCTTTCATGCAGGCATAACAACAAGGGCTCCTTTATCAGTACTTTCAATGAGACCTGGCACCCGCTAGAGCTCCGGCTAATTACCAGGTATACTTTGGAAGCTTTCAAGCAAACTCACAAAGTGAGACCTAAAACACCTCAAGATCTTCATGAGTTCTTTCAGTTGACTTTTAACTTTATGAATGGGTTTTGATAAAAATATTGATATTGTTTTATCATATATCCTGGCATACATTTCATACATCTCTAGCCAAAAAAAGATTTTGAGTTTCCAAGAACATATTAACTCAAATTTTGCTAACCGATTGCTACATGTCCTTTCAGAGGACTTTTTATGTGAAACTCAGGGAGCAAGCTTGTATGCCAGCAAATGGAAGATTTTGATGAGAATTAAAATGATCAGTTTAACAATTGTTACAAAGGGGATGAATATTTAATGATCATATACAGAAGTTTAACATTGAAAACTCTGTTTGAAGCCAGTTTTGTCTGAATGGAAGTAATGGGATTGCAAGAAGGAAATTGTTTTTATATTTCTCTCTGGTAGGTGCTTTACCAAGGTGGCCATCTTCTTCAAATCTTATTTAAAGCAATTCTTAATTGGTTGTTGCCTACCTTGTTTATAGGGAATTAACACATGAGGGGGTGAAGTCCTGGGTAGCTAAAAGTGAATTAAAATTGTGTTGGGTTTACCAGCTTGTCAACTAACTTTCAGCTAAGTCAACTAACTTTGACTTCTTGACTGAGTTACGAACTGACTACATGACTAACACCAAATGACTGATTGCAAAATACAAAAGCTATCAACTTTGTTTGCCAACTGTTTCCCAGAAATGGAAAATTGTTATTGGATCGTTATCAAACTTTTTGTGTAAACTGATGTTGCAAGCAAAACTTTAAAAAAATGTTGTTTTTTTCAGGATGTATGCCAACCTTCAACCATGTTTATTGATGATTGCTTTACTGTGAATTCCAGTCATTGGCTGACACAGGTAAACAAGATCCTGGTAAACAAAGTTTTGGTTTGTTTGTAGTTTACCCTAGATGTGAAGTGCATAGGAAGATGGGAAATTTTTTTCTTTTGCTTTTTCTTATTCATAAATGCATAGAACATTTATTTAGAAACAGTCTTAACTAGCTCTCCCCTTCCAAATAAAGTATGCACATATTGTAGTTGAACCCAAATAAATTTTTCACCTTTCAAATGGTTCAAAGGATCTCTAAAAAGGTTGTTTAAATTAAACACAAACATAAACACACTGTAACTGCATTTTAATACCCAGATTAGAGCAAAACACTTTTTAACTGGTAATTTCTTTGTTTCCTACCCAAGATAGAAAGATACTCTTCCTGTTATATCTTGGCACTTGTGGTAGTGCAGGTAATTTCATGAGATAAGTAGACTTATACAAAATAAAATACAGTGTTGTTAAGTCCAAGAAAAAGACCTAAAAAATATACAGGAATATCCAAACTGTTTTGGATACTGGACTGTCTTTAAGCGCTGATCAGGTGTTTGACTTTGTACAAGAGATGGGAGACATAAAGCTGGCCTCTCAGGAGGCTGGTGTCACCCAAAATATCTCTTCCTTAGTCTTGATCTTTGATGCAAAGACTTGGTCATTAAAAAAGAGGATAAAACTGTTTTGGACAATGGACTGCCTTTATGTTTGACTTTGTGCAAGTGATGGGAGAGATAAAGCTGACCCTTCAAGGTGTTGGTGTCACTTAAAAAAATCTCTTCCTTAGTCATGATTTGTGATTCAAAGACTTGGCTCCCCAAAAAGAGGGTAAAACTATTTCGAACAATGGACTGTCTTTATGCGCTGATCAGGTGTTTGACTTTGTGCAAGAGATGGGATGCATAAAGCTGTACCTTTAAGGGGTTGGTGTCACCCAAAAAATCTCTTCCCCAGTCTTGATCTGTGATGCAAAAACTTGGGCTCCTTAAAAGGAGGATAAAACTATTTTGGACATTGGACTGTCTTAATGCGCAGATCGGGTGTTTGAATTTCTACAAGAGAAGGGTAATTAAGGGTTGACCCACTAAGGAGTTGGTATCGCCTCAAAAAAATTCAGAAAAGGTAACTGATTTTAGATAATATTTCATACCTTTAAACTTGCAAGTAAACGGAAAGAAAAAATCTAGATGATTTTTTTTTTATATCTGATTACAGGATTCAAGTAAGAGTGGGATTATCATCGTATAAAATCATCCTGGATTTCAGTAGATTGTGATCAACCCTATGAGGTGTCAAAGGCAAGTGGTTTGTTATTATTAAGAA